AGGGATCGAGGCAACAGCATGTCAAGAGTGTGAGAGAAATAAAGAGACATGCGAGGATGTAAATAGACAGAAAAGCGGCGAGTCAGTATGTTCCAGACAGTGTGAGACGGATCAAAGACAAACAAGAGCATGCCAGTGTGTAGTTTATCCGCCTTTACAATCTCTTAACATATCAATGCGGTGAGTGATGGTGAGATTGAAATGGAGGAAGCGGGGAATTAATAAGAATGCATTTAACCTCTAGGCTGTGCATTCATCTGCGCTCCAGAGAGGAGACCCACTGAATTAAATCACATCTCATATCCACAAGCGGAGAGATGGAAGGAGTCGACAGGCTCGGGCTGCCCAGCAACAGCAGCCTCAAACTCTTCGCTCCTCATGTTTCTTTTTTTTCTTCTTTTCATCTGAAACCATCCTTTTCATAGAATTTATATTTCATTTTCTCATTGCCCCTCCTTTCCCTCTTTACCTTTCATTCTGTCTCCTTTCTTTTCCTGTACTTCCTCTACTCTCAAAAGTAATGGTAAATTTCATAAAAGAAAATTATGTGTATGCATCCATTTATTTTTTTAGAGAAAATGGAAGTATGATTACTTAAACAGATGCTTCAGATCAGTAAATATCCTACCCAGCAAATTGACTTTCACATCAGAAAGCATATACTCGGAGTAGAGCTGTATTTTTTAAAATGACAGATAACTCGGTTTGGAATGAAACTGCTCTATTTCACTGAATCAGTGGACAAGAAAATAAGAGGACTTTGTTCTGATTCAATCTATTTGGAACCACTTTGCAAGCACATTATCCCTTCACTGCAGAAGATGTACGGTGCCAGATAACACAGATCTATTCTGCTGCACCTCAGTTCGCTTCATTCCTTCAGCCAACGCAGAAAAAATATGGGATTTCTATCCTCTGTGTTTTACAACAAGAACAACAATGCAGCCTCCATTAGTGTTTGTTAGGTTAAAGGAGGGCCATAAATTAATGGAAACGCCTCCACACAATGTTGTTGTTTATTTTCCATTGGAGATAATGCAAATGGAGGGAGCTGCAAAGGCCAGATATGATGGAAAATACTGTTTTAGTCGCTCTCTCTCTGGGACTCTATCAAAGGCATTGGTTTAGAAAATTGTACCTGTACCTCTCAGAGTTCCTGCTCCCCGTCATCTGTTATTCGCTGTGTTTGAATAATCTGCCGTACAGATTGTGGAGGTTTTTGCCTTGCTGTAATGTCTGATATTTTCCAGCCATTGCTCTGCATTTCTTGTCTGCATCTAAAAGTGTCACATCTACTGTATGAGTGTGAATGTTGTTTTTGTAATGTGTTTGTGTTTTCTTATTCTTCATGCTCATCCTACCAGACTCTCCAGTGAGTTTTCTTTGTCTTATTGAATAAAGATCAAAGCAAATAAATAAAAGCTGGTGATAAATGTGTCTTACTCTGTGTTGTTTCTTTCAACAGGACATCTCAAGCATCATTTCAATCAACAGTTAAATCACATTTTCCAATAAGGAGTTCAAGGTCCAGCTATACTACTGTAGCAGATGAATCAAACTACTGACTACTGAGAAGCATTTTCTAAACAAAGGTGTGATAAAAGTGCCATAATGAAGATCCACCATTTACACTGAAACAAAAGGAGACAACAAATGCTGCCCCAGAGTGTGATTTTCGATTGTATGCTGCCACTCTAGAAGCAAAATCGGCGTGATGTGTAGCTCAACAGCACCAGCGACACCCAGGTCCTATCTTGGCATCTCCCCTATTTTACATAGATGTCGATTTGGATCTGTAACTACAGGGTTTCCCAAACATTAATTTATTTTATGGCACCCTGCCACAATATTAGCATTTGCTGCCACAGATTGATTTTTTATTTTTAGAGATAGACTGTTCATTCAGAGCTTATTCAGAGCACTACAGTCTTGGGGCGCAGAGCAGACTCTGTGAACAGACAGCAGGGTTTCCTGCACATTCATTAATTTGTGGCAACCCCCCTCCACGATCAAAACATCTGTAGCCACATTTGATCGGTTATTTTTGGAGCTGGATGGTTCATTAGGTGCACTGTTGGAATATATGTACCATTCGGTTATTCAGAGCACCATGTTCTAGGAGCGCTGAGAGTACTCTGGGCAAAGATGGAACAGCAGAACACTCGGAACAGTGAAAGTGAAACTTAACTGTTCATTTTTCTTGGTCTAGAAGTTTGCTTTCACTCACAGACAGCTGCTCCTCTCATCAACTGATCTGATCTGATCAGCTCTGATCGGATCGACTAATCAATTATCCACCCAGCGACTCAAAATAACTCAAACTGCTGCTGAGGAAAAAACAACACTCATAAAGAGTACCACCTGCGCTGTGTTCATGTACCTGCAAAAATCTCAGGATTTAGAGAGGGGACACAGACTGATACACAAGGACACACTGCAGGGCTCGACAGTGCGAGAGTTTCACTCGCATTTGCGACTAAAAATAGGTGTGTGCGAACTGTAAAAAATATTTAGGGGCACATGTGAGCATAAAAAAATCAGCCGAAGCAGCCTATATTTTTGTCAATAAAAAAATATGATAATCTAACCACAAATGTTGGAGGAACTCTAGCCGCCTTCCCTCTTCCCTCTTCCCCGTGTGACACGGTTAAGAGCCACACCGTCCGAGGAAGCGCCACGAATAGCCTCGAAGCGCTGAGAAGTGAAGCCAGTTTCCTTTCGGTGCCCATGTTAACCGATTGTGTCATCCACACCGGCCGCGCCGAGCAGCTCCGCCGCCGGCCCTGCAGCGATCATTTCGGCGTGTGGTCTATTTTCTGCACGAGCCGCGAGCAAATGTGTCAAGCTGGGTAGTTACCCATGATGGAAAAACAGCCCCAAATGTGACGGAGACAACAGCTGGGAGCAGAACCGCTTGTTGACCAGCGTGGAGAGATGCGCATCTGATGTGAACGGAAGTGCTCTGGCTCGCGGGAGAATTTCGGTGCGCTGCGCTTCGCAGGCAGGGCAGGCCCTGGCATTATGGGCGGTTTTCCAAGCTACTGTCGGCACAATGAATATAACGGCCGGGCTCCACCGGGCACGTCAGCGGCACAACACGTCTGCAGCGTGAGTCCCGTAGCAGCTCGCCCCCCTGTTAATCAATTACAGCGACTCCACCGGCAACAGGAGCGGCGCGACAACCGCCATCTGTCGCGCGACAACTCTCTATTTTACGCGGCTCTTCTATTTTTGTCGTGCTACGCTCCCCTACATGACCCTCCAGCAGATAAAAACTACATGAAATAGTGTGCTAAACAAGCACAATGTGTTTTAAAATGAATAAACCATTATCAGAGGTGATATGTGATGACTTTTTTTCATGCATTTACCCATGTTTATCTGTGACATTGTGTAAATGTCTGTGGCGGACATTCGAAAGCGAGTAGATGACAAACAGTACAGTAAACTTGTAGATAACTCAAATATATGTAATAACTTAGGTGGAAAATGCTTTAACATTTCTTTCAGCCTACATGCAGCCTCTCGGTTCGGCGGTAAACAACCCCGCTGGCTTCTCTACGTGTTGCTTCCGTACGCAGTCAGTGGAGCCCCAATGAATACGCCGCAACGCTACGCTGACGTGACGCTTACGTTTGCAGCCAGTGGAGCCCTGCCGTTAAGTCCCACTGTCGGCAGCGTGGAAATAAGTCAAAGTGTGGAGGAGACGGACCGGGAAAAGCGGCAGACCTCTGGGGAGGCCTGCTCCGTACTCTCCGCAGTTAGGGACCATTTGCCACGGTACCGCTGCTGGGCAGGGTGGAAATAAGTCCTGCAGAGTTTCAGAGGACCTGGAGAATGTTTTAGGATAGTAATAACATTATATAAGATAATCATATTGCAAAGATAATATATATAAGATAATAACATTAAAGACAAAATTAAATTGCAATACTTTTTCAAAACTTGATGATTTTACCTTTCTGTACATTTTGTAGACAAATTCATTAAATCATTTTGCTTGTAAATGTCTATTTGCATCACATTTATTACGGAAAACACATTATTTGATCAATATACATTGTGCCCCTAAAGTTCTTTGTGTGCTCCTTACTTTTTCAACTTAGGAGCACATGTGCTCCTTGGGAAAAAAGTTAGCGTCAAGCCCTGACACTGGCAAAAAAAAAAAGATAATAAAAAAAGACGGATAGTCAGCCCCACCCCTCATCAGCTAACGCCAACTACCTTTAATGACACCGGCTGTGTTCCAATGGAAACCTCGCACCCTGCGGTCCAGCGCTAGGTCTAAAAGTTTGTTTTCACTTGTTTCTGCAGCAGCTGCTCCTCTAATCCACTGATCTGATTTTATCAGCTCTGATCGATCCAACCACAAACTAATCGACTGATCAATCATCCACCCCTGCAACTAAAACTCAACAAGCTGCTGCTGAAGAGGAGAAAAAAAAAAACTCATGAGGAGGTCAGCCTTTGTTGCATTCCTGGACCTACATCTCAAAAAATCAAAATTCAGAGGAGAAACAGAATGATGACAGAGAAACACACACAAAAACAAAACAGAAAGTTTGCTCATCCCCGTTTTTTTCTTTCTCTCTATTTACGTTTCCACAGAATGGCGAGGTGCAACATTACCATCTCGAGCAGGCTGTATATATGGGGCAATGGTGAGAACTGAGACTCAATATTGTTCAACAGTCTCTCCTGGAAGACATTCACAGTGATGCCCCAGCCACACTTTCTGTGAGTGATGTGTGTAAGAGCATTGATACACACATAGGTATACTGATTCCTGGAAATAATGGACTCAAGCATTCTTCGTCTCTGCCTCAACTGTATCAGGACACCTTGTTGTGTGTTATCACTTACATATTGGAACTCCTTTAGGTACATCTCCCTACTGCTTTTGAGAGATAAAAATTGCATTCTGCTCTTGCTCTGCTTGAATTTTCTAAGTTAAACAAACACATACAATCCATAAGATACGAAGCTGTAAAGTGTCTTACCTGCAGGATCTTGCACCTCTCAGATTTGCAGTAGATGTCCTCACAGGGATGAAACATGCCCAGTGTCACACAGTTCAGCAGGATCACCAACATGGATGCTCGTTCGAACCATGTAGAGAGCAGTAGTTAAGGAATATAGATGATAGATTGTGATCCAAAGACAAGAGTCAGGAGCTTACAGTTAATGACAAGCACAAAATACATCTCTATACTCTCTCCAGTGACCTCATTATCCCATTCAAATGTATAAACTCTGACAAAGTGATGCACGCTTATCTCTTTCACTCCAATTCACTACCAAAAACTGCTTTTGAGAGGAAAAATGAGCCACAGAGGAATATGGGAGGTGGAAAATCCCACCTGTGGTTGTTCTGAGTGGCAGTCATTGTTCCCTCTTCACCCTGTTAACCAAAGATCTGTTTGCAAGGCGTGTCCAAGTCCTTAGCGAAGGTGCTGGTTGGGCACCATAAAGAGATTGTGTGAGGCAAAAAAAAACAGAGAAGAGAAGCAGATGCTAAGAGACTGGGAGGCTGACTGAGAGGAGAATGAAGTATCAGGCTGCAGAGTTGGTATACGTGAAGACATCCTGATGCATAGCACATAAATTTTATTGACCACAGGGTCGAAGTGGGCTTTCCTAATGTGGTTAGGTTAAATGCCAGGCAGGGCTATGTGACACCAATCAATGATGAGATCAAACACAGATAAGGCTGCTACTGCTGCAGTATGTGCTATCAGATAATGTGGGTTGCATGCATACACACAAACACACGCCCACATATATTATATATTGCTACTGCATCCACAGACAGCACCCTGCATCCAGCCTGGTTAACAATGTTAGACAGAATAGACTGTTTGTCATCCAATGTGTGTGTGTGTGTGTGTGTGTGTGTGTGTGTGTGTGTGCGCGAGCTAAAAGGAAAACAGTGCTTTTCATCTAAGAATGTATGTGTGTAAAAGGGTGCACACAGGCTGTGAGGACAAACGACCTGTCCGTCTTTTATCGCATTTGCCGCCACTTGCTCATTCATCCCGCTGACCCATAATGCAGCTGGGTCAGCATGGCCCCAGAGCCGACACAAAAAAAAAATTGAGTGCAGGACAACTGTGAAAGCCAGATTTTTAACTTTCCTCCTTTATGCTGGTCAAAAGCTGCCACCGCAGGCTAGAGTTTCAAAGCAGAATACCAGACAATCTGATAAAAGCTGAGAAAACAGATATGTAGTGGAGGGCTAAACACAGAATCTCAAATATCTCAGAGTCTGGTGGCTTTGGTTATAGCAATTTCAGGGCTGTTTCTGGTGAAACAAAAACAATCTTACTCTTTAAAGAAGTATTTCACTGCTGGAATGATGATCTTTTCACAAAACAAGGTTGTCTATGCAGTAGAAAGACTTCTGAAATTGGTGCTAAGTGACCAGGGAAAGCAGACAAAAAAAGGGGTATGGCATTCACTTTTGCTCATGAGGTAGAAAACCTAGAACTACCAGAAGGCACCACGCGGACTGGGCCGATAATCACTCCCACTGGTGGGTGACGTAATGTCAGTTGCTTCTCCAAAAATCAACATGGCAGCCAACCAATAACAAACAATCTCCAATTACAGTTAAATGGTAAGTTGAAATATGTTTCTGAAAACATTTTAGGCAAGAAATACTTGGTTAATATATGATCAGCACTGCTTAGTTTTACCGTTTGATCGGATTTTTCTTTAAGCCTCCATTTTTCACAATACAGGAAACAGTATGGCGCCCACTTCCTGTTACTTGTGTTAGAGCTAAATGGTGCACTGAAATGTTTTTCTAATAACAGAATCTTGGTTGATATTTCATCAGCACTGCTCAAAGTTTGATCAAAGTTTCGGCATCATTTTAGAGAGCGAGAGAGAGAAAGGCAGGTTTCTCTCTTGATCCGCTTCTATATGCTTTGTGTCTGTGGTGGTAGATATACAAAAATGCGGAATCTCTAGTTCTCTAGTTAGAGCAACAGCCAAAGAGGCAGTGAAAATTTGAGAGAGACAACCCCCAACCCCCAACAACCCATCTCTCCCTCTCTCTCTCTCTCTCTCTCTCTCTCTCTCTCTCTCTCTCTCTCTCAATCCGCTTCTACACTCTTTCTATCCATAGTGGCAAAAGGCATTAAAAAATAAGGAAGTACAATCTGCAGTTTGAGCAACACTTTGAACAACAGCCAAGGAGTAAATCCCAACCCTGGCAAATGGCCAGGAAGATCTTGGAGCTGGCAAGATGGAGGGAAGTTTAACACAGTTTGTACTACCCACACTGTTAGGATACAAAGCTGGTTGAAAATCATCAAAGTATCCCTTGAATAAAAAGGTGTATCTCTGTAGGGGTCCTTTCTTAATGTTGTCAGGTACTTATAATGACAATCTGAGACTGTAAGCGACAAACAAGTGCTCTTAGTGGACTTAAATTGATGGACAAACATGCCCCAAGTGTTGACATTGCAAACTGTATTGCAGCTGCCGACAGCACTTTACACTGGTCCAATTACAAACATTTTTCTTCCCATCAGTCACTTAGACACAAAAACATGGGAAAAAAGGATCCCAGTTGAAAAATACTAATCTTACCCTCCAAAACTTTACTTTATACCTCTCTAAAGAAAGGGAACACTGCTCCCTACATCAGCACTGACCATCGGCATTGGACACGAATCATGTGCTGCAGGATCATCCAATTTGAAAGTAGTTTTAAGGGATGCTGGGCTAGAATGTGATATTCTGCGGTAGGTCCAATCCAGTATTGAACAGGAATATTGAATAATAGATGCAGGCTGGAGGGAAGTTGAGTCCATGACCACAAGGCACCTCAGTAGCATCAGCTGGGTAATGATAGTTGCACCTGGAAGGCAGCACAGGATTATGTCACACACTGGAGGATGCACAGAAAGTTGTGAGAGTCCAAAGGGATGCAATTAAAAAGATCAGTCAGTATGGAGAGTAGGATCATTAAACAGGAAACAAAAGCTAAGGCACTCAGGCCCGTAGTCTGAGAGCGGTGGCAATGAAAGTTTTAGGGAAAGCGAACTGTTGTTGACACGCAGCAAAAGTTCACTGCCAAGGACTAAGAAGGTGGGGCTAATTAAAAATAATGAGCTGCATGTGTTGTTTGTGTAATCACCAGCTTCAATTACAGCAAAACATAATGTCATTTTAGTTCAGTAAAGTTTCACTTCATCATTTCTCCAGCAACTATAAACTGACTGTTTTACAGTATGTTGTTTCTAAATTGGCGTATTTAAGCAATTATATTTCCCTCTGCATCAGAAATGATAAATGAGCATGGCATTTTTTTAATTACATGTTCTAATATACAACAAGATGTATTTTTTCTAACCACCGGTAACCCACAGCTTTCAAAGCCAACTTTCCATGACTTGAAGAAGTTCAAAAGGAAAGCTGTTTTCATTTTGTTTCTTACTGAAAATGAAAATAGCAAAATAACTACACTTGTGATGAATAAACTTAATAGTCTGCTGATTTTTGTATGCTACTAATATTTTGACGTAAGCTTTATGTTCTGCAAAAAAAGATTGGTAACGTTGTCTTAAACTGCCTCGAACTCTACAGACGCCTCTGTTATAGAAGGAAATGAGAGACATTTGAATTTTTGATGGCATAGCAATGCTTATGCCGATGTCATAGGTTGGAAAATTTTACTTTGAAAAGCATGTAGTCTATCTAAAATTATTTGTTCTAAATTCACTTCATTGGAATGAAAATATGAAATGTATCAATCTGCAATTTTAAAGGCTGAATTCTATTTCAAAGAGGTAAATTAAGAGCAGGGTAGGTTCATTGTATGAATCGTGGCCTCTTAACGTTTGTTTTACTTCTATTATCTTGTTTTATGCTATTGAATATGTTCGCAAATTACTCACATTAAAAAAAAGCATTTTACTGAGCACTATGTCTACTCTGTATAAAAATCAAGAATTTAGAAAGTATCTGGTAAATTTAAATTTATCATTGACCATTTACATATTTTGAATTCTGTTATCTTCGAAGGTAATCATACATATATCTTAAGAACACTGAGTATAAGTATATAGTATTACAACACATGATATCACTTAGCACTGTATACTTTAATATTTGTAACACCACCATATTAGAAACAATGAGCCAAGTACAGCAAACCCAGTAATGTATGTTGTTTCATTTTACTGCTGACAAACTTAAAGACCCAAACTTAGAAGGTCACTGATAAGTCATTCTTCAAAGCTCTGTTTGCACAAGACTAGTATAATAAGCAGACCTAACACTTCATAATTAGCCTCTAAAAAACAAATCTGAAGAGGGTCATAGACTTTGCTGATATCACCAGGGTTACAAATAGAATGTTAAGATTTCATAGGGTAATTGGTCTCTTCCTAATTTATGGTAGCAAAGCAAAACTGTGAGTGTGAACTAAAAATGCACTCAAGACCTGTAGATTCCACTGCTGTCTGGACCACATTAGAATCAAAAGTCGCCCTCATTAAAGAGGACTGCACAGGTCAGCATGAAAATTCTCACAATAACATACAAAGCAAACAAGAGGCACAAACAAAACTAAAGCACAGTGGAAACAACAGAAACAACTCATACTTTGTGCTGCACAAAGGACAGCAGGTCAACTGTTTACCTTAGAGTTGGGGTCCATGCTGAGGTATGGTATGTGATTTCCTGCCTCTCAACACCTTGGACAAGATATTTGAAGCCAAAAAACTCTCTACAATCATAAAAAACCACTGGATGGATGTTTTTGCACCCAGCTTTCTGTACAATGTTACCAGAGACAGTCATCACAGTGAACTGTCAACATAAATACTGGTGCTAAGGATCATTAGCGTCTGCTGTTGTGGACGGAGTGCTTCACTGAAGGCATTACAATTTGTGTTATTTAGCAACGCTGGTCTCTTGCTGCAGTTTCAATCAATAGATACAGACAGGCTGGGGTTTGGGAAGTTGGACAAACTGAAAGACAGACAATTGACTGGCAGGCTGAATGACAGGCACGTGGGCTGACAAGCCAACAAACTTAAAGGGAAACTACATACGTTTCGAAAATGAAATAACGCAACTA